GAATCGTGTCTGAGTGGGATCCTGAGTATCTGTCCATGTTAGCTGTGATTTTTGTGAGGTAATACAGGAAAGATGGTTAGCCCAGAGCTTGGCTCAAAGGAAGGAGTAAATGTCCTACTCCTGAAGCTGCCCCCACCATCCAGCATGGGGAGGTCATCCGGGGCCAAAGGGAAGGTATTAGGTATTAGGGAAAGGAAAAGAGAGTTTGTCTAAAGAGCTCCGTGAGGAGGGGGCCTGGATCAGCTTTATTAACCATCATATCTTCACTGCCCAGCGCAGTGCCAGCCTCAACTGGCTCTCAGGAAATGTTTGTTAGTGATCGAGGGATGGACTAAATGAATGAAAGAGAACTGCTCCTGGCCATGAATTGGGGAGGGGAGGCGAGGGAAGGGGGTATTGACTTTCTTTGAGTTTGAGTTAGGAAGTTGGAGACATTGATTTAATGAAGATCAATTGATAATAACTGAGTAACTTATTAAATTAGCTTAAATTTAATACATTAGATTTAACCCGCACTGCTCCAGATCAGTTCACTGATACATGTTTGGAGGCTGTACTTCACTGAGCAGTGAAATAACGAGTTCTTATGTTTCCTGTTATGTAAAAGGAAAGCAGAGAAGTCCTTGTAACGTCCTCTGTGCTTACCACAGTGATCAGTGTCAGAAACCCTGGAAATGGGAACGTGCCTTTATTCCGGGACAGCAAGGATGGGGTGCTGGGGGGCTATTGGCCACCCCAGAGGAAGGAGCAGCCAAGGTTCCTTTGTGGAGCTTGCAGTTTGGCCTCTGGTTGGTCACCTTCTACTCCTCATAGTCTGTGCAGTTCAGCAGGTGATTGATTTCTCAGGCACTTCCCCTGCCCTCCTCTCCTACCTCAGCTCCATCTGCTTTTCCCTCACCTTCTCTGCCCTGGACACATTGGTCTTTTTTGCCTATCTGTTCTCTGAGCACACCAGGCTTGCTGGATTACCAGTGCCCTTGCTGATTACCTTTCTGGGCGTGTTTGCCCTCCATACTCTCACACAGTGCCCTTCCCATTTCTAGAGAGGTCTTCTGAAAGCACTCTGTCTGTCTAAAATAGCACCCTTTCCATCTCCATCACTGTGTTCCCTTCTTGTGCTTGATTTTTCTTCAGAGCATCAATAAGTACCAGGCATTATATATCCTTGCTTGATTTTGTCTGTCTTCCTCACTAGAGTGACACATTGTTAAGGCAAATGAGATGCTTAAAACATTGCCTGGCGCGTTGAAGGCACTCAGAAATTGAGAAGATGCTGCAATTTCTTTTAGAAAAAAATTAATCTGGGGAATATTCCCAGGATCAAATTGTGATCTTATATATAAGATCATATATATATATATACATATATATATATATGTGTATGTATGTATGTTTCTGTAAATGAGATCCCAGTTTATAAGTGTGTAGGGGAGAGAAATCTTCTCTTAAAAATTCTTTTCTTCCAAAGATTTACTTGTAAATTGGCTGCTGGGAATTGAGAGCATGTATCACATTTTCTAAAAAAGAATTCTTTTATTGACCTAGAAATATACCTACCTCAAATTCAAGAAATTCAGGCACACATGGAAAAAATGCTTTCTCATTGATGACCCTGCTATTTTATTTATTTCTAGCTCTCCTTTTTCTAAAAAAAGATTAAGTCCATTTACAAGAATTATGTATTCATTCAAGTATTTAAGTGACAACAAACATGTCATGTCTACTGCTAAGCATTGGGAATGCAACATTGAATAAGATAGACACCATCTGTCTTCATTGTAGTTTATCAGGGGAGATATATTAAACACATAATTATACAAATAATTACTTAAAATTGTGGTAAGAGCTGTGAAGGAAAAATAAGGAAAAGGAGAGGCAGTTTCCAACCATAGGCACTGCTGCTGGAAAGGGGAGAGGAAATTCCTGGAGCTGGCCAGGGTTGACTTGGTGTGGTTTGAGGTCCTTGAATTTTAATTGTCTTGTGCGAAGGATACTAACATAAACAGAAAAAATGCTTTCCTCCACTAGTTAAATGAGCCCAAATTTAAAAACATGGGCTCACTGAAAGCAGGTAAATAAGTGCACAGGAATTTGTCTTACCTTTTTCTAGTGGCAGCGCTGCTGAGGTCTTTTATATTCATAGGTGTATCAGAAATGTAAACGTACATGGTCTCCATATTACACTCAAGTTGCACATTTCCTGTGGGAATGTCAGCCATCTCCTGACACTTCCTTGGAAGTTTGGAGGTTTTAGGGCACAGGTTCTCAGATTATATTCCGCAGAATATTTTTTTTCTAGCTTTATTGAGGTATAATTGACAAATTATAAGATATTTAAAGTGTATGTTGTGGTATTTTGATATATGCAACCATCTAGTTAATTAACACATCATCTCTCATATTTATCTTTTTTGGTGAGAACATCTAAGTTCTACTCTCTTAGAAAATTTCAATTCTATAATACACTGCTATCAACTATAGTTAACCATGTTTTACATTAGATTCTCAGACCATATCCAGGAGAATCTTAACTGGAAATGGCACAGTGGTTATGAACTTGGGCTCAGGGTCAGACAGACAGAGGTTCAAATCCTGGCCTTGAGCACTTTAGACAACTTCCCTAAGCTTCAGTTTCTTTCATTGTGTGTGTGTGTTGGGGGACGGTGAGGGTTGGGGGGAAGCCGGGGGTGGGGGCTGCAGTGACAGTCCCTGCCCCTTGAGCTGTTTGGAGTAAATGCCATCATGCGTGGAAGACTGTTAGTACAGTGCCTTGCACTGAGGCCCCAAGGAGTTTCTCAGGAAATACTAGCTTGTTAGTCCTAGTGCCTGGAAGGATCGGTTAGAGTAGCTGACACACTGTCTTTTCAAAGCTCTTGGGGAAGTTAAATGGTGTCAAATCCTTTTAAATCTTAGAATAGGGTCCCATCTGAGGAAGGAGAAGAAAACTCCCTCACTCTGCTTTTTAATGGGCACATGCTGATAGGATTCAGAGTTTTGGCTAAGTACTTCTTAATATTGCTTAATTTATCAGTGTTTAATTACTATGTAGCCTAGGATACCGACTACCAATTTAAAACCTTTTCCTCCATTGGAAAAAAAATTATTCATGTTGCCAAAATAATCGTTTATAGATTAAAGTTTTAAAAATGGAGGTACTATATTTAAAAGTGAGACATTTGTGTGCTAAATTTATTCACATTTTAGCTAATTAAAAATAACATAAGACCCATTTTCTGGGGGCAGTTTTGATATTCCCATGTTTTGGGAGGCATTTAACTTGTGCGTGGTGACATTGTCAGGACCAAGCTGTAGATCCAGCAGGATCAAAGCATTCGTGCTTCTGATGGGTCCACAGTCGGCTTTGCCCTGTTGGAGAAATGAATCTCAGTCTGTAGATGCCCACTTGTGTGCATTCCAGCTCAGAGCAGACCAGAGAGCAGACTTTCATAATGAGTTGCTCATTGCCATGGGATTTATTTCTCTTGAAGCAGCCTATTGATACTAAAAAAAGAAAAAAAAGCGAAATGTTGGGAGTACACAAATTTGGATGATATTCTCATCTTTGCACAAAATATTCTTAGATCTGTAAGAGCTTCATTGTAGGAAAATTAACCTCTTTAGGTTGGAGTTTGCTTTTTGCCTACTTTGCTTTCTTTGAAAGTCCTTGAGAAATGATTCCCTTGCAGTGAAATAAAAAACACCTAGACTATAGAACCCATCGTTCTTTTTTTTTATTTATT